GTGATGACAGACGACTACGAGAACGAATGAACCGATGGATAGTCGATCGGTCAAGAGAGACAGACGGGGTTGAACGACGGAAGTGAAGGGTGAAACGGAACATGAACAGCTACCGTACGACGACGCTGGCCAGATTGGTCAGTTATGTAACGGTGGTCGGTCGGTTATGTAACCTTATATGGCAGCGTTATCACCTTATGTGTGAAGATGCAGTGTGGTCTGCTGTACTGTAGTGATCGGTCAAGGTCCGTGATGCGTGATTGTGCGACATGCATGCTCTCATTCACATGGTCACTAAATCAGTCAGTCAACAATCACCGCCGCCGACAGATACTGGGCAGAGAAACTCTTGGCATTTCGGGACTGATGGTCAGCAACAAACAAACAGACAGACAGACGGACAGACAGACGGACTGACTGCTGACAGACTGGCTGACAGACGAGACGGATAGACGCAATGCCTGGTGTGTGAAACGAAAGCGCCGCCGCCGTCGACTACAACGGTACAATGACCGCCGTTTGTCTGGTCGTTAACATAACTTCACCGGCGGGTCTTGGCGACGACGATGAAGAACGAGGAGCAAGAGATGGTTTTTGGTGCAAATCATATTCGCAAGATTTGACTCGATTACGCGCACAATCGTCACTAGCCGCCATTCGTCCACCGTCACATCTGTCCATTGTGACGGCCCTGTTCATGTGGACGATTACGATCATCGGTCAGATCGTTCGTTCGTTCGTTCGATCGTTCGATCGTTCAACTCCTCCCACCCTGCTGACCGCCATCTGTTTATCTGTTCATCCGTTCATCCGATTTTCACAATATCCGTCAGACGAAACTTATGCGGCCACGTCGTATGACCTCGTGTCACCCCGGTCGTCGTCGTCGTCGTCGTTTTGCCGGCTGCACGCAAACGCCCGTCGCAGCAGGTCGTACTGCACCGCACACGACCCGCGACACACAACGTCCTGACCTGATGCGGCATTTCGGCTTGGCGGAGAACAACGACGAAAATGCGGTCATACCTTGCCGAACCGAGTGACGGCTAGCGAGTCGTCGTACAGGCCAGGCACGCTTAAAAAATCGACCCCTGTAACGGGTCTGGTGGTGAGACGTGTTCTTGTACCGCAGTTGGAGCAACGCACATGTGGATTGTCATTGAAACCGTACTTTTGCGACCTGAAACGGTCAACTGAACGCTTGTCAACATCGACGGTTCTACAAAACCTCGACTTTGGCTTGAAATCTCGTTTTCGACACAGAGTACTTTCGATCGAAGTACACAGACGCACTCAGAACCGTCATGGTCCAGAGCTGCACCGTGCCAATGCCGCAGCTGTTCACACGCTTCATGGTCACTAAGGCAAAAACCACCATGTCCATTAGCCTCCATGGTATCCACTCAGCAATGTACCTATGCCCTAGATGCAATGAGTCAAGCACAAGGGTTGTACCATTGAACTCTCAAGTAAGACTACAACGACGTATGACTAACTGTCTGGCTGTAAACGATCCGTAAACGCTACACCTACAGATCTATGGCAGGATGAGGCGAATAAATTCGAATTAAAGAAGAAAACTTAAGTTGATGGCGGAGTATTGGAGTGATCTTCATCTAGCAGCGAATCGAGAAAGGCTGGAAATAATATCTATTACCATCTGTACGGCGGACGTCAGCCACCTTAGATGCTGTGGCACCTGCAGCTGTGCTAATTTTTCAGTACACACAATTATTTACCACCAGTAAACCATATTGAATACGAAACGCAGTAATCCAGTCCAGTTGAATAAATTTACGGTCTTCTGTTGCAGTGGTACAGGGCTCAGTGATGGCCCGATCGAACACAAAAAAACATTTACCACTTTCACCGCTTGAACCCTGCAAACACGGTCTTCTTACAAGCCTGGCTAATGAAGTCAAGTTTAAAGACTTCCGGTTGATCATATCATCCTTCATCCGTCTTGTCCTCGTTGTGAGAGCTCTACGAACGTGAGCCAACGTTCCTCGGAATCCCTCCTTTCTTAGGCGTTTCTTCACGAGTGGTTGTTCGGTAGTCCATTCAGAGCGCCAACCCTCGTGAAAGATTGCCGATTTCTCCCGCAGCTTCGTTCAGCAAACGGATGCAGAGAAGTGAAGCAGTTGGTGAGGTTGGTGAGGTTTCGGTTACGAACGAATATCATGATGAATGTAAAAGGAAACCCGTTTCCATCTCTAGTGAGAATGATAATATTATGGTAAAATTATTACACTATATCCCTCGTGCTGTGTTCTCCAGCCCTCCATGGATAGGTTCGCAGCCGAGTGTGAACGCATCTAAAACGAAAAGCCCAGTGATCTCTCGTTTTCCTGCCCTTTGCTCTCTTCAGCTAAACGTAGAGGCAGTGGAGCAGGTGGAGAAGTTCAAGTACCTCGGACTCGTATTTACTAGTGATGGAAAATTAGAGGAAGAGATCTACCGGCGAATTGGAGTAACCAGTGGCGTTCTACGTGAATTAGCCCGACAAACTGTGACTAAAGGAGAGCTGAGTGTGAAAACTAAGCTCTTGGTATCCAAATCGATCCCTCATCCCGATGAGTCGTGGACTGTCAATGAAAAAGCTTCGAATCACGGTACAAGCTGCTGAAATGGGCCCTCTGAGAGGAATCGTTTCGCTCACGTGTCTGACATGATCCACAGTACAGATAGCCGACACTGCCTTGGTATTTAGCCCCTTCTAAAGATTGAGAAGTCACAGCAGCGAATGCTTCCAGAAAGGAAGGCGAAACAGCTGGTACTTGCCCAACCACTGGCCAAAGACCTTAAGGACAGCCCAGAATGACCTGCGGCAGGTGTCTCTACAGACTTTGCTCCAGACAGATTATGCGCAATGCAGCATCATGTGATGGACAGCGCATTAATTTCTATTCTGATGGGTTGGTATCCAATGGATTGCAGGCACTCATTTGGAGACCGCAACTCAGATGTTACGAGAGTGAAGAGAGAGACATGGACGCTTGTAAACTTGTAACAATAAATCACGAGAGAGAGAGAGAGAGAGAGAGAAAGAGAGACGAGCTTAGGCACTGAGGCTAGGTAACAGTGTTCCCGTTAATCTCGAGAAAGGATCACGCAAACCAAGGCAACAGAACAACATCATGGCTCCTCTAATGATAAGCCTCGTATTCTAATACTACTATTTGGCACGCAAAATAGTTGGTGCTCAACATTTAATCTTAATTTAACTTCTTCACGATATATATGTTCATCTTCCTTCGATAATCTCTCTGTTCAGGTTTGTATTGAGAATAGAAAGATATGCCTGAATGGCGTGACGAGCTCTGGCAGGTTTTTCACTTGCTTACCATGCTGAGATTTGGGGGTTATCATCATGATTTTAAAAAATTCGATGGAAAACAGTCTATTCCATGAATGATCGATTCATGTAATGAACTCGGTGAAATCCATATAACCCAGATTTTTTCGACGACAGAAATGAGGCTGCTGTTTCTGATCTATGAATAATTCGTAATTAATTTACTATCTGGTAAACTATATGTTTTCATGCTATTGTTGAATATTATTATAATTACAAAGGTAGCTGTCTATATTGTGGGAGGGGGCACACTGGTAAACGGACAGCCTCGAACTCTGATGTTCGATAAAGTAAAATGAAAAAACTGATTAACCGTTTATGTCCTTGAGCAAGGAATTCAGCACACATCGCTTCTGTTCAACCAACCGAGAAACTGGTTGGCCTGTGAATAATGGAGGCAACGCAGGGTTCTGGGGAGGTCATACCAAAGTGTAACAGATGTACGGCCATGCTATCTGATCCAAGCATCTCTTAGGAGTGCATTCACCTTGATCTACTTAATTTGTCACTTTCCAATCACAATCAGCACCAGATGTAGGTACTCTTGTTGCTGTTGTTCTTCAGCGCATTTTATCAGTGTAAATATCTTCCTCCACGTGCTGTCCGTCATGCTGTTGGAGCAAAATTCAAACTCATTATTATATCACGTATTGGTTGCGTATAATATTGAATTATACATTTTATAAACTGCCTCATAGCCATCTTAGACCTTCAGACACTTGCTGTATATGCGCATGTATCACCTTCGGAATTTGCAAATTAACTATATTATAAATTCTTTGACACGAATGAAGCGTTTCCATTCTGGCCTCCTTTAGGAATCTTTGACCATTAGATCAGGACATCAGCGCTGTTTGTTTGTTGAAACGAGTAAAGAGATCGAAATATTCAGTTTGTAGCATGCGATTTTACAGTATGTCCAGCTGCAATCCCTTCCCAGTAACTTGAGGCAACGAGCATTGTACAATAAAAATAATAGGAATAAGATAACTGAATTTTAATCATTCTAGCGAACGTTGAAAAAAATATTGTATTAAAATAATGGCTACAGCTCAAGCACTGATTCAGTGGATACCGGACAATCATTTTGGGAAATTAATTTAAGTAGGTTATTGCGTTAATATCTTGAATATCATTGACCAATAGCCTGTTTAAATGGTTCCGCTATGCGACTTGAAGCAAGGAGCTGGCGTTACTCACCTGTCTAACACGGTTCAATGGCTTCCATTCGTCATAACGGGCCGCAGTACCGGTGTAAAATAAGGAGCACATTTTCTCGAACTTGCTAATTTCTAAACAATACGTGATTAGAACATTCAATTCGGTCGAGCCACGCGTACGAGACAGTAAGTTGCGCCAGAGTGACGCAGTTTTGAGAGCCATGAAGCCGTGGTCTGCATAAACCGTCCTGTGAGGTGAGTAGAGGCACACGATTATCGACTTGTGTCAGAGGACAGGTTGGACAGCGATAACTTTTATTTGCAACTCTTTTATTCCTGACAAACTTTGGTTGACTTGATCAGTCAGTGCCAGGCTCCATTGCAAGTTATTGTCCCAAATTCAGAAGTAAAAATTTTCATAAAACGTTAGTCCCTAATTTACAGCAATAACAGCTCTACTGCCTGTGTATCGTCTCACTTGCCAAAAGCAAGGCCAGCTCATGGTCATGGTCATGCCGCCGAATTCCTCTATGCTTGATTTTTCTAAGGCTTGAGATTCCAGCGTTTGTACCAACGGCTGCACCTCATGGAAGTTGAGAACAGACAATCAGCGGAATTACCTGACTAGAACAACTATTGTATCTCGTTTACCAGGCAATTTAGAGGAGCGTATAACAGCAACAAATGTCAAGCCAGCGTTTCGGTTAATGTGTTTATGATGAATCCAGATTATCGCATTTAGAGATGAGGTGAGGCAAGCACAAGAAATGGTTGAGTCGAAGAAGACATGAGGCAAACGACTAAGGACCACCGACCAAACTTTTGAATGTGTTAAGCACGACGTCGTTGTTCTGAGAAGGGAATTAAATACATGCCGTGTGAATCTACAATGTGAAAGAGAGATTTCCCTTCAACTTACAGGAGACCTATGTAGGATTCGAAGGTTCAAGCAGTTCATTTATACTCGTGGTCTCTTTGGT